ATGCTGGGGCCAGCATCACATCAAGAGATTTGAAACTGCCAGGTGCCAGGGCATACCTCCCACCAACGTTCTCTTTATAATGGCTTCAGAGATGGATGGGCTTGAAGCCAAGCGGTGCTGGGTACCCCCTGTGCTAATGGGGAGGGCCTCAGCGGCTCAGGGTGCCAGTGAGCGACCCAGATCCCGCAGCTTTCTAGCTGCCAGCGTTGCAGCCAGTTGCTGCTGGAGAACCCTTCCCTTTGCCTCTGGATGTTCTAGGTGACACAGGAATCTAGCCCCAGCCTATCCCAATTCTCACTAACACACCAGGGTCTTGAGCGGTTCGCTTTTCCCCTCCGATCCACCCCACACTACCCAACCTCTTCACTCGCATCAGAGCTTATCCATTTTCCTACCTCTGGCCAGTCCCCGAGCAAAGAGGTCCAGTTTCCCAGCAGGCTGGTGGCAGATCAGTTCATGGGCCACCGGCAGAATGGAATTTGATGGAGTCACACTGGGTAACTAGCAGGCATCTGCACTGGGACCCTGTCAGCAACGAAAGAGTCCGGCCCGGTCCAACCTGTGCCACTGAATTCTGTGCGTCAGGGCCTCAGCTGCTGTAAATCAGCATTGGGCTGCTGACCTCAATGGAGTAATGCTGATTTACACCTGCTAAGGAGTTGGCCCTCTGGGGCTTGTCGCTTATGAGATGCCAAATAATTATTTAAAAAAATATAAATTCCATTGGCTGAAAGCCTGGCTTAATCTAAAGGCAGCTGGTGAGCTTTCAGCCCTCTTCAGTCACTCCCAGGCAGGGAGATGGAAGAATTAGGACAGACAGCTTGAAGTGTTGTGTCTCTCTAGATGCTGAGATCGTGATTCTGGCCAGGGATACAATGACCCACAGGGAAGGAGCATCTCACAGGTGGCATAAGCCAGAGGAAGCCACAAGTGACAGTCCCAGGAAGGGCTCGGTGACCCCAAATGGCTACTGTAGGCCTAGACAGAGGGGTTATGGGTTTTGCGTAAGGAATCCCATCATCCTAGGTGGCAAGGGGAGGGGCTCTAGAACAAACCTACCCCTTGTCTTTGGAGCAGAGGGTGTTTCTGGGGCCCCACGGGCTAGCTGCTCAGAGCACCCTCAGAGAGCACAGTGAGGCAGCCTACTGGCTGCGGAAACCCAGCTGTGATGGCATCAAGGCCGTTGCTTGGGCTCCAACTGATGGGTGCAATTTGTAACCAGTTAACCCGACTGTGCCCCTCATTGGTTCCTGCCATAGTGGCCATGGCCTGGCCTTCGAGTGCCCCTGCTCTCCCACCCAACAGCTGGCCCATCTCACCCCACCCATCACCACAGCCAATGCCCAGCTCTCCGAGGACTCGCCCCTCACAGGGCTTTCTGTGCCCCAGGGCAGCGAGCGACGGTGGTTCTGACTCCCTGTATGTTTGCCTCCTCATGGGGCTATCAGCCTCTGGTGACACAAGTGCCAGCTGCCAAAGAGCAAAGCCGTCCCTGGGCCCTGCCCAGCCCTGAAGGAAGCAGCTAGAACAGGCTTCTGCATTTGCACAGCCAGGCACCCCAGCTCAGCTGCTGCCGGCTCCCGTCACGTTCCCAGCTGCAGAGACGTTCTCTAGTGGACAGGCGAGCTGGAGAGAGGCAGGCGCCCCAGCCAGCAGGAGTCCGCGCTTTTGGGGGACCGGGAGCCATTTGCGATTTCACAAGTTCAGTTATTCTGGCGCGTTCTCTGCAGGTGATGCTCTCTCCTGACACATGCAGTCTTACTCTAGTTCCTTCCCACCCACAGAGCACTCCCAAAGAGCTAGAACACAAATCAGAGGCATCCAAACCAGACAGCGGGAGGCCCAGGTGGTGGCAAGAACAGGGATGTTTGAGCCCAAAGAGGTTTGATGCCAGCTCCTCCTCTGCTTTCGTTCCCCTGGGAATGGAAAGAGGGACCCATTCTCTCCGATCAGTTAAAACCTCTTGAATTGCTTTGTTGAACGCTCTTTTTGCTTTTTAAATGCACTTTTTGCTGGGACATAATCCCACTTTGATCACCTTAGACACGCTCTGGATTTGCCCACACAATAGCTCCTTGGGGCAGGGACTCCCATCATCATGTACACACAGCACCAAGCACAAAGGGACCCCAAGCCCTGATCATGCTCCACAGATGGTACCAAAATACAAACAACAACAGAGTCTGCATCAGTGCAAACTTACCCCAATTGCCTCACGACAGTGCTTGGACCCGGAGCTCCCTATGCTAGAGGGGAGTTGGCTCTGTAGGGCTCATAGAGTCTAAAGCTGGAAAGGTCCAGTAAATTAAGTCTGACCTTCTGCATAACACAGCGTTACCCCTGTAACAATAAAGGGTTGCACCCAACATGAGGCACAAACCCATGACCCTGAGATTACTCATACTCTTCTGAGTGATCTAGCCAGCCGCATTGAGCCCTTGGATTTGTTAACGATACCACCGATGATGCTATAAATTAGACTCATGGAGTCTTCGATAGAGCCAGCTCTTCACTTGGAACTGCACTGAGATCCCCCAAATCGCCCCGGTAAACTTTCAAGAGCGAATTGGTGGACTTCAGGAAAAACGGTTCCCCCCCAACCTCTCATGGCTTTCACGGTGACCCTGCTCATTCCGTATGGATTCTACACAAGCCTTGCAGACCACATGGGAAAGAACCAACCCAATTAACTTCAACTGCTCCCAAAGTGACAGCTGAAAAGTGAAGTGAATTTTCCACCCGTTCTATCCACACAGATAAATCTAGGTCAGGAGCAACATTAAAGATTTCATGCACACAAATTTTATGCAGAGCTAATATAAACACTGGGAAACATAATAGTTTTTCTCAGACACGTGTGGGTGGAGAGGCTCTAGTAGCCAATCCAGTGCCGCGGCTCCAACTCAACGGCTGCAGCATCTCCGAGGAGCTGAAAAGGTGTGCACGCACGAGGGAGCCGGCCAGATGACTAACAAGGAGAGTGCTGACATTTACAAGCTCCCACATATATGTGGCAAATGAGTCGGCTTCACAGATACAGCCCAAAGGCAGCGGGACTAATCAGTAGGCCTCCACCAGCCGAAAGGGTGAAAAAAGTCAACACCACAGCAGGATAGGGTGGCATGAGGGCTCCCTGGGGAGAACCTGGGACTGACCAAAGGCGGGGGTCAGATCCACTTTAATATCAGGGTGTTGTTTGTGGGAAGGTTCCCATCAATGCAGAAGGGGGAGATGCACTTAAGGTCTGAACTACCCTGGAACTGGAATGGCTGTATGTGCCACACAACGACACTGAATGATGTTCTGCGGGCGAAGGGGCAATGTGGGGGCCAGGGAATACGCACAGGAGGATAGGAGTGGTTCTTAGCCTTGCCAACCCAGCCATGCTTGGGATGCTGTTGTGTGGGAGGTGCAGGCCCCAACAGGGGAGTCCTACTGTAAACCAAATGCTGAGGTTTTTTACCACCATGTCACTGCGACCTGCTCCGACTCCTGCAGCCCCAGGGCATGCTAGGCACCGCACCTGTACGACTGCAGCAGTGGGAAAGAACCACACCAGCCTCAGGGCAGAGGCAGCCTTGGGAAGAGATGAGGAAGCCAGCAACTGACATGGTGGAAGTGGAATCTTCTTCCCAACCCAGGAGACAGGGGCCCATGCAAAGCACTGCAAGGCCCAGGCTGACCAGACAAGAAGGGTGAATTCCTGTCCAGCCGTGGAGCAAGCAGTTATGCCAGGGAACAAGGTGGGTTCGCCATGCTGGGACACAGGGCAGAACTGAAGCAACACTGGGCAGAATGCACCCCTCCCCCAAAGAGGCAGCCAGCTGGACCAAGCAACTCTTGAGTCCTGAATCCCAGGGCCTGAGCTCGTGCTGACCTCTGCGGCCTGGCTTCTTCCAGCCCAGGAGCCAGCTTCACTCCAGCGACCAGTGCGTGACACTGAGGCAGTTGGTTGTCATGTCCCATCTGTCCCTGATTGTGTAGCCTCTCCCCCTCCCCCACTATTTCTGGCCACATGCGTAGTAAAATAACACATAAAACATTAAAATTCAACAACTTAAGGGATAGCCCTCTCCTCCCCCAATCCTAGCAAGGCCACAGGTTCCTTTGCCCGGGGAGCTGCACAAGGAGCCTTTGAGCAGGGGAGGACCCAGCCGGGGTCACGCTGTGGGTGAGAGCTCCCCAGGGCACGGCTGACTGAGCAGGGACCTGGGAATCCTGTCCCTTTCTCGCTGGCATAATGCTTCCTAATCATGCAAGGACAGAAGCTGGATTAGAGCGATTTGCTTGTGGCGAATGCTAAAATCCCTCCCTTTGCCTCTGCACTGCTGCGAAATCTACTTGAGAGCGTGCGAGGCCGGCTCCTCTCCCCGCATCTCCCCCAAAGATGGATGGAGGGAATTAATATGATTCAGGGATTCTCTGGCAGCTTCATTACCAGCCACAAAGACCAGCGACCTGGGGGTGGGGGAGGGGGGGGGGAAGAGAGCCAAAGCACCGCGCTTGTCCAGGAGCTGAGTCAACCTGAGCCTCCCCAGACAAGTGCCCTTTGCCAGCTCTTCCCCGGTTCCGCCTGGCCTGCCCCTGGCTCCCTGCAGAACTGCAGCAGGTTTCGGGCGTTGCTCACATCCAGCCCCACGGAGCGTGCACACTGCAATGGACTGGCAGGGCTGCAGCAAGCTTCCCCAGCCCCCATGCCACCCCTCTCCCACTATGCTCTGCAGCCAGATGTGGGTCGCTCCCTGTGTCACCCCCACGGCTGCTGCTGGAGGAACAGGCTGCCGCCACCCTGCTACGGAGGGGTGGGGGGAGCAGAGTTGTAGACACAACAGCCCCCCAGGGCAGCCTGACCCCAGTGGCTGCTGGGAACTGTAGTCTACACAGGCCAGACCTTCAGGGGTGGGGGAGTCTGGGGTCCTGGGACAAGGGGGCCTTTGGGAACATAGCCATGTTCTAAAGCCTTGAGATCGACAGCACCAGGATGAGGAGTTGGTCTGGGCGACTATAGAGAAACCAACTTTATTGAGCTGGCTGCAAACCAACATTCCCTTTGGTCTCACAGCACCCAGGTGGCTGGAAGGATGGGCTGGGCTCCAGCCATAGGCAAGGCACTGGATTAGAGGAGTCCGCTGTCACCCAGCCCCATGAATCTGGCACTGGCAGCTGCAGCTGGCGCTGGTTGGTTTAGGCCCCCAAGTTGGCTGGAGAACTCCTTGCTGCTACAACTGTGGCAGGCCCTTCCCACTCACAGCTCAATAGCACTGAGATAATCCTCGCTGTCTGAGGCCTGGAGGAAGCTGGGCGGGCAGGCGGGGCCGGGCGGCTCGTGGAGTCTCCGCCCCAGCGCCAGGTCGGCAGGGGACAGCTCCTGGCCCTTGCACATGACGTAGAGGAAGTAGTGGAAGTCAGTGCCGTAGGTGGAGTGGCGCAGGGACCAGCCATAGGCGGGCTGGGCATAGTGGCGCTTGCGGAAGTGCGGCTGGGCAAAGGTGATGGAGATGAAACGGCCTCCCGGCCGCAAGACTCTGCTGACCTGTGAGGAAAAGGTTAAAGCGGACAGGGTCAAGGACCCCCCTGCACTGTGCCAGGCTCCCCTCCTGGGCACGAACCTCTCCAAATCCAGGGAACACTCCCCCCCATCCCTGCCAGGGCATCCCTCCAACCTGTCGGCTGCTCCAGGAGTGTGCAGAAAACGGGTCACCTCCCATCTTGCTAGAGATCTCAGGCTATGCAGGGAGAGCGCAGCTGATCCCCAGTTTCAGGGCATCTGCTGCTCTCCACAGGGGTTTGGAAAGAATTTTCTCCACCCCTCCGGCAGCACAGTGCAGCTGGGCAGGAAAGGGTGAAGCAGCGGCCGGCCCCCACTGAAAGGAGGGGAAGGGATGTTACGGGATCTAGCAGATTCCAGCCTGCGCAGTCCTTGGCCCTCTTCCGCTGCCTACTCCCTGCTGCTGGAGCTGGCATTTGTCGCCAACAGCCCTGGCTCCTCCTGTTGCCAAGAGACCATGCTTGGCCTCCTCCACCTGCTCTGCACCCCTCCAGGGGTCCGACCCCCACCCTGCTCACACGGGGAAGGCTCACTGCAGGGATGACAATTTTACCCAACAGCACAAAGGCTGCAGCAGGAGCATTGGCCAGGCCTGGGGCTGCAGCTCCCAGAGCCCCCAGACGAGAAAGCCCACTAGGGTCCCCAGGTGCAACTGCTACGAGAGGGCGGGGGAGCGGAGCGGTTTTCCTTTGTCTTTTCTCCGGACTCTTGTGCATGCCCAGCACAGACGAGGGTAAAGCTACCCCACCCCCACAGGTGGCAAGACCTCACGGTGCCACCCCTCCCCCCACAAGGTAACAGCTCCAGGATCCATGCTCCCCACCCAAGTGGTTGTTTGTGCAGAGCTCCCCCATCCCAGCCCCCCACTGTGCTTGCCACGCCAGAACATCCCTGAGCTGCGCTCGAAAACACAGTGTCCAAGGTACGGGGTGTTTGAAGCAGAGACGACTTGACCCTTTTAATCATCATTTTCTCCTCAGTGGAACTAAGCTCCTGCTAATAGGATGGAAAAGAACATCAATTTTCTTGCTTGGCTTTATCCAATGTCAAAGGCATTTACGGCCAGCGCCGGCGTGCTCAGCATGCTAACGGCACTGCTTGGTATGAGCAGCCAGCGTTGGCGGCCTCCCTGCACAGCTACTCCCAGCGCAGCCTGATGGGGAGGGCACGGCGCAGAGCCAGGAACTCCCCCGCACTCGGCTGCCTGGGTCCCTGACAGGTGGGGACCGACCGCCCTTCATCTCTCATGACTCACCCTTAGCCAAAGGGCTACAGCGCCAGGGAGCTGCTGCTGCAGTCCTGGCCGAATGCTGGCGGTGGGGAGGGGGCTCTGCAGCAGGCGGGCAGGGGAGGGACCACCCACGCAGGACTGATCTCTGTGGCAGGGTAAAAGATTCTCCTTTAATCCTCCGGCAATACAGGGGCCGGTATTTCCCACGGACACCATCCATTTGTCCATCGTTTGATGCAGAGAGAAATCCACAGCTGGTGCCACTGGCAACGCAGGGGCTATTAGTCCTGAAAATGTAGCCGCTGGGCATCCTCTGATCAGAGAGGGAGGAGGCCGAAGTTGGGCCTTGGGAGATAGAGCTAACCAGGGCCCATCCAGGACGGCCACAGCATTGTAGGGCAGGAGAAGGGCCAGCCCTGGGCTTCCCAGGTTGGTGCTGACACAGATTGTGCAACCACATACAATAGCTTTGGGGACCATGCGATATTAAGCTGATGTGCCACTGTGGGCCAGGAACTGTATGCAACTCCAGGGGCAGGGTTCCCACAGCTCCTCCAGGAACGAAAAGCAGATGGGGATGATTAAGGTGAATCACTCAGGTTATAAACACCTGCAGCGAGGTCCGTTCCCCACCCTCCCCCTCCCCCGGATGGAGGCTGACATGTCCTGGTTCAAACTGGGTCTCCACAGAGCAACGGACAAGGAAAGAGCTTAGAAGATAAATAGGCTGCATTTAAACTGACTCAGGGGCTTCGTTTTGATTCAGCAAACGGACAGGGACCGTCTGTCTTTAGGAAGCCCCAACCTCTGTGGAAGGGTTGGGGAGATTTTGACTTACCAGGGCTCCATAAGACTGAGGGGTGACCTCACTCAAGCGTCAGCCCATGGCAAAGCACTTTCATTGGTTTTAGGAGGTTTTCTCTGTACTGCTTTTACTGTAAGAATAAAGGTGCTTGCTCATAAGAGCTCGGGGTAACTTGTAACTGCTGGCAGTACGCTGCTCATAGCCCTGGGAGAGGAAGCAAGCCCAGTGTGATGCAGCAGGGAGGGGGGAGTGTTGACCTGGAAATGTGGCAGGGGAGTTTCACTGGGGATGGGAGACCTGAGAGCCTGTCACCTGAGCCAGGAGGGGGAGGGGTAGGTAACACCTCTGCCCAGGAATGTGGACAGAGGCTGCAGGAGAGAGCCTGCTGGAGGGCGGGGGGGTTAGTTTCAGTTCGGTGCTGGGTGTTGGAACGCAGGGAACCCCAGGGCTGGGGTCTAAGCTCCCTGCTCCCCCAGAAGGACTTGACTGAGGGGTCCTTGTTGTACCCACAAGCTCTGTTTTAGACTTCCTATTGTCCAATAAACCTTTGTTTTACTGGCTGGCTGAGAGTCACAGTGAATCCCAGGAAGAGGGGTGCAGGCCCCGGACTCCCCCACACTCCGTGACACCCAGGGATTGGCCTTTAGGCAGAGCAGCTTGCTGGGGACAGTGTACAGCACGGAGCTGTGCAGCCTTAAACCCCTGCCCCCCTTCCCCCCGAAGGGAGTGGAACACAGGTCCCTGCCTGTCACTGTCAGGAAACAAAGGTCCAGAGACAGCTGACGACTGGAGACCTGAGACGTGGCTGGGAATTCCTGGAGAAGACCAAGGAGGGTGGGGGCAGAGGGGAATACAGGTGCAGTTACCCTGAAACCCATGACAGGTGCTCCTGGCCAGCACAGTCATTGGCTCCAGCAACACAAGTGAGCACTCTGGTCCCGCTCGCTCAGCCACAGTGGCCTTCCCTAGCACTCTGGCCCAGGCACCTGCCCCCAGGAAAGCCTGGAGCCCCCAGCTCTACACTTGGCCAGTGCTCTGAACCTCAAAGGCTTAAACAGACATCACCCCCCCCCTCCCCGAGGGTCCCCTCCGCTGCGTGAGAGAGGAGGCCAGGCTGCATGACTTGGGGTTGATGGGGCATGCAAGCCCCGCTCTTTGCTATCCACATGGGGCAGAGGGAGGTTTTGCAGGGAGGTTATTTCTGCATCCTCCCCTTCAGTGTAAGCAGCTGCTCCTGGCTGATGTCCAGAGACCCAGACCCAGCAGGGACCCAGCCCCTCACTCCTGAAGGAGGTTCTCTCTATGAATGGGAGGCCCCTCTCTGGGGCTAGCAGCCTCAGAACGAGGGCAAGTGGCGAGAGCCCTGATCATCTCTCAGAGGAGAGAGAGTCCATAAACCAACCCCAGGACACAGACAGGATACTACAGGGAGACACTGCTCCCCTGGCCGGCCTGCACCCAGTAGCCTGTTCCTCCTTCCCTGGGTGGGATGGGCCAGGAAAAGCCCCAGTGCAGACAGTTGGACAGCGAGGAGCTGATGCTGGAGGCCTGCCCCACACATATAAGGCAGCAGATCACACGCCCAGAGTGATCAGGCAAGAGCCCTCCCCCCTGCCCCTCCTTCCAGCAGCTGGGGAGGGGGAGGGGCAATAGGATATTTAAATTACCTGCCCTAGATTGGCCCCAGAAGCAGAAAGGCATGAACGCCCACCCCAAGGGGCAGGGTCTGGGGCACTCGGTGGGGGAAAGGAGTCCGTGCACATAGTTAGGGCTCTGGAAGACCACATATACGTGAGCCGCAGCGATGAACTCCCACCCCCTCCACACCAATCCCCCTTAGATGGGGGGCAGAAAGCCCCTGCCCCACCCTGGGAAGATTCCAGCTGTGGTAACAGGAGGCAAGGGGTGGTGCATGCATTGAAGTCAGGCCCTTTAGGACAGCTACATGTGCTCAGAACTATGCTGGAGAAGGTTCAGGGGCCTGAGCTCAATTCTCTGCCCTGGAGACCAGAAGGCTCTGCCCTTTGACTCACACTCAGTGCCGCATGGGGCAGCTCCAGGGACTCAGCAGGACCCCAAGTAGCCTTCACTGCCTCCTCCAAGAGAGCTGGAATCAGGATTCTCGTTCCGCAGGAGCCTGGGGTGGCTGCATAGACCACGTCCCTCCACAGGGAATGTCCCTACTCCAGGCACTGGGAGCCCTGAGCAGGAAGCCTGCCCTAGCAAGGCGTTCGCCATCCAGAATGTGGCCAGGATGAGGGGCCCAACTGGGGCAAAACCAGGACACGGCTCAGGAGCCACCTGGGCCTGAATGCACAGAGCTGGGGAGAATAACCAGACACCGGAAGAACTAATCACAGCCCTTTGTGCCTCCATTTCACCGCCCGGGGGAGCTGGGCCTGCCGGTCCCAAGGGTTCCTGTTTTGCAGAACGGCTGGAGCGCCAGGAGCCAGCCGCTTCTAACTTCACCCAGCCAGCACACAGTCACGCTCGGCCAGCAGCCACTGGACTGCCTGAGAGCCAGTGTGACCATGCCCCCAGACCCAGCTCAGACTCAGCTCTAGGGCTAGGAGAATCTGCCCCTTAAACCACACCTGGGACCCCTGCTCCCAGACATGCCCCACCTAATTCTGCTCAGCGGAGGGTGGAAATGGAGCTGTGAAAGCCCCAATCTGCAGGGGGCAGAGTTTCTGAGGCAGGTCTGGGTGCTGCTGGTCACTGCCACCAGTCTGGTTCCACCTCCACCCCCCATTTCCTGCTCTGTGGCAATGCCAGGGGGTTAGCAGCCCCGAGAAGGAAGAATCAGTGTCAAAGGGACTGCTCCCAGCTGACGGGGGTATGCGGGGCACTGCAAGGTACATTACAGAGCTTAGCAGAGGAGACAGGAAGCAGGAGCAAGGACAGGAGCAGACCTGCAGGAGAACAGCCCCCACCTGGGTCAGGACTCTC